ATTATAAAATGATAAGGGGATCAATTAATCAAGACTATATAACAACAATAAATATATATACACCCAAATTTGGAGCCCCTAAATATATTAATCAAATACTAACAAATCCAAAAGGAGAAATAGATAGTAATACAATAATTGTATATGGGACTTCAATACCCCACTCTCAATAATGGATATATTATCCAGAGAGAAAATCAACAAGGAGATATTGAATTTGAACCATTCTTTAAACCAAATGAAAATAACAGACATATACATACCATTCCATCCAACAACAGCAGAATACACATTCTTCTCAAGTGCACAGAGAACATCCTCCAGGATAGATCAAAATGATAGGTCACAAAACAAGTCTGAACAAATTTAAGAAGACTGAAATCATAAGTATCTTTTCTGACCACAGTGGTATGAAACTAGAAATCAATAACAGGAGGAAACTGGAAAATACACAAATATGTGAAGGTTAAACAATATGCTCCTGAACAACTAATGAGTCAAAGAAGACATTAAAAAAAAATTCTCGAAACAAATGAAAATTGAAGCACAACATGTCAAAACCTATGAGATGCTACATTAGCAGTTCTAACAGGGAAGTTTATTGTGATAAATGCCTACATTAAGAAACAGCTCAAATAACCTCACTTTACACCTCAAGAAACTAGAAAATGAAGAACAAACTAAGCCCAAAGTTAGCAGAAGGAAGGAAATAACATCATAGATTAGAGCAGAAATAAATAAAAGAGAGACCATAAAAACAATACAAGAGATCAGTGAAACCAAGACCTGTTTATTTATTTATTTATTTTGTTTTGTAAAGATAAATGAAATTGACAAACCTTTAGCTAGAACTCAGAAAAAAAGACACAGGACTCAAATTAATAAAATCATAAATGAAAGAGGAGACATTCCAACTGATACCACAGAAATACAAAGGATCATGAGAGAACACTATAAAGCATTATAGTCCAACAAGTTGGATAACCTAGAAAAAGTGGATAAATTTCTAGAAACATACAATCTCCCAAGACTGAATCATGAAGAAATAGAAAATCTGAAGAGACCAAAAAAAGAGTAAGGAGGTTGAATCAATAATCAAAAACCTCGCAGCACAGAAAACCTTGGGACCAGATGGTTTCACCGGTGAATTCAAACATTTAAAGAAGAATTAACACCATTCCTCAAACTCTTCAAAAAATTGAAGAGAAGGAACACTCCCAAACTCATTTTACAGGGATGGCATTTTCCGGATACCAAAGCCATATAAGAACACTACAAGAAAAGAAAATACAGGCTAATATTTCTAATAAATATAGACACAAAAATTTCCAACAAAATACTAGCAAACCAAATTCAACAGCACATTAAAAAGATCCTACACTGTGATTAAGTATGATGTACCCCTGGGATGCAAGAATGGTTCAACATACACAAATCCAGAAATGTGATACACCACATTGAGAAATAAAGATAAAAATCATATGATTATCTCAATGGATACTGAAAAAGCATTTTACAAAATATAACATCCTTCCTTGATAAAAATGCTCAACAAAATGGGTAAGGAAAAATATAACTCAACATAATAAAGTCTGTATATGACCAGCCCTCAGCTGACATCATTCTCAATGGTGAAAGTTTGAAAGCTTTTCCTCTAAAATCAGAAAGAAGTTGAGGGTGCTCATTCTCACCACTCTTATTGAACACAGTACTGGAAGTCCTAGCCAGACTAATCAGGCAAGAAAAAGAAATAAAATGCATCAAATCAAAAAAGAAAACGTAAAATTGTCTTTGTTTGCTGATATGATTTTATATGCTAAAATTACTGGGTAAAATGCTGTTGGAGGAAATGATATTTATACGGTCATAAAGTATTCTCCAAATGTTACTTACTACTTACAAAAGCAAAGTGATACGTTTACATTTATAACAGAGAAATCTGGTGATTAAAGTTAATACCACCAATAACACAACAAATTGACAATGCCTACCTCCTAATGCAATGCACTGGGATACAATATCACCTATACATGACTATACATTAAAAGATAGTTTGTATCAGTGTTAAATTTCTTGAATTGGCTCATTGCATTACGGTTATTTAGGTGAAAGTTATTGTTCCTTGGAAAGACAATATTTGGTGACTCATCATATTGTATGCTTTAAATATCTTAAAATTTATTTGCGACTTATACCTCAATAAAGCTAAAAACCTAAAAATAAATAAAAGTAAAAATTATCATGAATTGGGTTAATCAGTGTGTCTAAACTATCATGATACTTAGATGGCATAAACCACAGGTTTATATCACAACTGTTTCCCAGCTATTCTTAGTGCATAATCTGTACCTAGTACAATAGCTTTGAAAATATTCTTGGCTACTTATACCTTGTCTAATCTGCTAGTGTAGTACAAAGAACATGGACTTTTTTGCTGGAAGGATGTGAATTTAATGTTGACACAGTTGCCCAGTAGTTATGGGACAGTTTGTGCCTCACATTTATCCTCTCTCAGCCTGTTTTTTTTTTATCAACAAAATTGGGATAAAATGACTATCTTGCAGTGTACTGAGGGATTTGCTGAAGCGTACGTAAAATGTTTGGCATAGTAGGAGGTGTTTACTAAATGTTAGCTATTTCTATTATCGACGCTTGTTTCAGGTAATATCCCTTGCCTCTGTGGCAGCCCTTGCTGACTCCCGCAGGAACATATAACCCATGCCTCTATCCATTTCCTAGTCAGTGTGGATCATAACTGGTTGACTCACTTAGAACAATGGCCAACATCAAACCATGAGCATATATAGGTATATTCACAATCTGATTTGGTGACACCTAATTGCAGTTATTGTAGATCCTAAAAGATGAATGGGAATGAAAAGAGTTCTTATATTAGGGCTTCTTTGCCTTTGAAATTCTGTCCATGATGTGATGTGACACTCCCACGTCCCTTATACCAGTGCTGTGAGGGTAACCAGGACATTGGCACAGAACTGAGTATTCAGTTTTCCCTTCCCGATCCATAGATTGTGCAGTGTTTGGTGTGTCATATATGTAAACAGAGAATCTCAAACCCACTGGAGCAGAGAAAATCTTTGCTATCTGAATCCACCCTTTAATAGAAAGATCAATAACACAGACACCAACAGAGCTCATTTCTTTTAATAGTTGAGTACAGTTTTAATAGTTGTTCCTAAAAGCTGTCTCCTAGGGACCCTTAAGACTAGTCAGATATCACACCTACAAGTATTCAAATTTTATAAATGCAATATTGCAAAGGCAGGAGAACTAAGAAAAGTCTTCATAGCCTTGAGATTAAAACAACGCTTAGTCATTCTCTCAGTATCTATTAGTAAATGCTAAATACTAAATGCTAGAAAAGCTATGCAGGCAGCTTGGGAGAAGCATGAAGAAGTAAGCTCTCATAATGGCAAGCACTTTTACACTCATTTTTCATCTAATAACCAAGATAACACAGGGCAGATCTCTCTATTTTGGTAACCATGTTGATGTCAAAGGAACAAAACCCTGCAAAAACATTTTCAGAGCAACAAACGGAGTTGGTTTTATTTATGCCACATAGGTTAGTGAGGGCCAAGATTCCCAGACTTTTTATAACTGTGGTTCCTCATCTTGCTCACACTTTCATGTCGAGAATTGAAACCATGAACACAGAACCAGAGTCATAGAAATAGCACAATAAAAATTTGTTGAATGAATGAACTGATACTTGGGGTGCAATGTGAACACACTGGACCTAAGTCTTTCTAAGTGGAAACCTTCCTGGGACATTTTGGGGAGGTGATATTCCAGCAGCAAGCCTGACTTGTCAGTGCCCTGGCCATCCTGAGAGCCCAAAGGAACAACTGAGTTCTTACTAGTTCATCCCAGTCATCTGAATATGCCCACTCAGCATCAAAATTTGTGGCCAGCATTTTAGATTCAATACCATATGTAATCCAAATAAAATGAATATATGTATGCATCCTTCAATTACATTCAATGCATACAAGAGTTTAAGAAGTCTGGGGTAGAAACTGGCCAATATGAGACCCCCTTTCCCTACCCTTCTCTTTTGCCTTTTTTGCTTTCTCTCACTCTCCTTCTAATCTTTCCCCCTTCTTGTCCCTTTCCTCCTAACCCAATCTTCTGCCCTCCCCCCTGCTTTCTTCTCTTTCTTCCTCATTACTAAAGTTGAATAATTCTAAATAGCCATTGGCTCCAGAGAGTGGGGCCAATAAAGGTGTTTTTAGTTCCCAGAAATAAGAGCTGTTAAAAGTGAGAAAAACAGAACTGTTTCTGGTCAGACTAGCAGTAATTTAGAGACTCTCTTTTGAACTCATAGATACCCAGAGCATTCTATTGGGTGTGAATTCAATACCTACACAGTAGGCTGGGGATTTTAGTTTCTAGGGTGTAAGTTTCATGCTGCTGCTGCTGCTGCTGCTGATTATAAAACAATAAACCATTAGTCACACAAATAAGATCCACTATGTGTGTGTGTGTGTGTGTGTGTGTGTGTGTGTATTTAAGTAAAATAAGGGGTGGATGCTATTTAAAGTAAATGGGCATATCAGGTACCTATTTGTCACAATTCTTAATTTCAAAGTCACAAGTGCTGGCTGGAAGAGATCCTTTCAGGCTGTAAATCAATTTGCATTTCTTTCACAGCACAGGAAACAGGACTAGAGGTGCCAGCCAGAGTTGTGGTAGGAGGCCAGTTCTCTGCCTCCATCTCCCTTTCCTCCATGCTTCACATATGTGAGGGACTCCAGGACATCTTATTGGCTACTCTCATTAGCTTGTTTTCTACCCCCAGAAGAATCAGGTTCTGTTGGCCTATAACAGCGGTTCTCAACCTGTGGGTCGCGACCCCTTTGGGAGTTGAACGACCCTTTCACAGGGGTCGCCTAAGACCATCGGAAAACAAAAAGATATTTACATTATGATTCATAACAGTAGCAAAATTACAGTTATAGAGTAGCAACGAAAATAATTTTATGGTTGGGGGTCACCACAACATGAGGAACTGTATTAAGGGGTCGAGGCATTAGGAAGGTTGAGAACCGCTGGCCTATAAGAATAACAGAAGTTATTTCCTTAGATAATTCTGTTTAAGACTTTAAATTAATTCTACCCTGGCATTGTATGTTCTAAATGTTTTTTCATTCACTCAACAAACATTCATTGAATATCTACTCTTTGCCAAGCATGATTATAAATGCTGGGTAATACATTAATTCAAGTTTAATATTCTTTTGTTAGAAGAATCTCTGGCACAGTTAGTTGGCTGTATTGGAAACCTGGAGTATGCTCCAATGTCAATCCTATCACCATTAAGTGTCAAACCACCCTTAGCACATATCACCTCTTATCTATTTGGAAAATGTCCTTCAAGATGACAATAATGAGAATAAAGATGACACAAAATGGAAAATGAATAGTTACTCCTCGGTTTGCATTTTCTTTGGGGGACTATACAAACCTATATTCCAGGCAGCCTGGTATTATGAAAAGGTTACCAAACCTGGAATCAGATGGCCTAGGTGTGTCTCAGCTTCATAACTTTCAGGAAGTTATTTCACCATTTTGAATCCCTGTTTTTGTCTTATCCTAAAAACTGAGCCCAGGAATCCTTACCCTATCTTTCTCTGGTATGACCTTGAGGAAAAATGAAATAATGTTTGTAAAAGTGCTCAGAAAACCATAAAGCCCTATACAAATGCAAATTATCACTATCCAACAATCTTTGACATTCCTTTCAGGCAAAATCTTCATAATATAGTTTCTTTTTCTCCATTTTTTAAAGTGGGGGGGGACTTACATTATCAACTAGCATTATTTGGACATTTGGCAGCATAACCCACATTTATTTCCTCATGGAAGAGACTGATTAGAAGTTTTCCTTATTGAAAATGAAATGCACTCCCCGGGGGCCAGACTCAGAGTTGGAGATGCTTTGTTTACTGAGGGTTTCAGCCAAGGCTTCAGGTCCGCAGAGGAAAACTCCTATTCTGGTACTTTGGGGAGAGAAAGAAAGAAAAAAAAAACCATTTCAGGCTTTGAGATGCAAAAGATTTCACAGCACACAGGGGGTATTTCCTACTGACTATAAGCCCCAGGGCAGAGTCCCCGCTGCTCCTTTGTTTTTTCCCACAAGTGGCTAAATTCAGATTACCCTGTGGGACAGCTGCTCAACCTGTTTGTGGAGGGCTGCTGGATACTTCAAATGGCAATAACATCCCTGGAAAAATGACATTCAAATAGGGTTTATGGAAACTTCTACCACAGAGAAAATGGTGGTTAATTTGTGAGTCTGTGGGTTACTTCCTTTCAGGGATCTGTGTGCCCCCCCAGCCCTCTCCAGCATTCTGAAATCAGGAACAAAACTGCTTCAGGTACACCAACTCTGCCCACAGCTTGGTGTGACTTCATCCCTCTACATTTTAGAGTTCCAAGCCCTGCTTCTCAAGGTGTGGTTCCAGACCAGTGGCCTTAGTGGCAGCTTTTTAAAAATGCAAATTCTTGGGCCTCACCCTAGACCTATTAATACCAGCACTTGACTTTTTGAAAACATCCCCAGTGATTCATATGTTCATTAAAGTATAAGAAGCAAAGGTCTAAAGGGTACATTTATGGATATTTCTTGAGCTTATCATATATTCTAGCAAGACAGAGGATCTTCTCAAAGTTTCATGATAGCTAAAGCTTTAAAAAGGACACGAATGATCTTGAGATGTCCATCACCTTTTGATCTTAGATCCAAAAGCTAAAATTGAAAGTGGGGGCAGTGTCTCTTAATAAGTATAAATCGTATTGCATTAAAGAAGTAGATACACTAGTGAAATTTAAGAAGTTAAAGAAAAGTTAAAAGAACCGAGTTATGGTCCTACTTGGGAGGAGCAGGATTCAGAAAGTCTGAGGTGGAGGCCTGGGAATCTTTGTTTCTAACAACTCTCCAGGTAATTTTGGTGTGATTAAAAGGCTCCCTCTTCAAGTCAGAGATATTTAGGACCTTCTGTTTGGCATAAATATAGGAATCTAGGTATTTTTGTTTCCAGAATATATAAATCTAGCCATGTTTGGGAGCTGCTGCTTTAGGCAGACGACAAGTGTCAAGAACACCTTGGAGGGTGCTCCTTACTTTGGGTGTTGACTCGCAATTGTCTTGAACTCATTATCCCAGTTGGGCCGTCCATACAAAGTCTTTTGTTTCAGGCCTGTGATTACGTCTTTCTCCTCGTCATGGTGCACAGCAAAGTGATTAGCCTGCAGGAAAGGACATGAATTCAGAAAAAAAGAGACATGCTGTAAAAAACACACAGATATATTTACGTATGTCACAAACCAAGCTTTTACTACCCTTTATAACTAATGTGTATATATATATATTTGGGGCAAGGTACTAGGCCAAAGGGTAGAAGACAAAAAATATGAACAAATCTGGTCTCCTAATGCAATTTACAGCCCAGAAGGGCAGACCTTGAAGTATCAACATGAATAATCATTTTTATAGAGTAGGGTATGATGAGTGCCATGGAAGAGGCACAAACATCTCAATGAGAGCAACGAAGGTAGGTGGGGTGGGAAGATAAGGAAAGGTTTCAGGGTGGCAACATTTGAGTCAGGCTCTGAAGTGTGGGTAGAATTTAAATGCTCTGTCTTACTTGTTTTTCTCTCTGCTGTATGCCTTGTCTGCTCTCTGATTTTCTCTCTTCATCCTAATATATTTCCACCCCCACTCCTTCGGAAGAATTACTAAGAATTAAAACAATCATAGACTAAAATGCACTCATATTTTGATAACATAATGAGGCTTCAAACCAAGCCTAAAGCTAGTGTGTGTGTGTGTGTGTGTGTGTGTGTGTGTGTGTGTGTGTGTGTTTGTACATAGTCACATATTGTTTTCTGCTACCATTCTAGGGGGCCTTAGTTTGAGCAACAGATATTTTTCACAACGTGGTTAATTAAATTTATTTAAAAATTAAAGCGGATTTTAAATCAACTGGACAGGGGATGGATGAGGTTAAGAAGGATGGTTATCCTGTAGAGACCAGTTTTTCAAAGCAAAATAATTATGTTTCAATGTAAATACATTTGCCATTTAAAAACTGTATTTGGCTTTTTAAATAATGAAACTGCAAAGCGATCGATATAGATTTTTTTCTAGGTTTCATTTTTATCAAAAATTTTTGTTGTGGTCTTTAAATTGCAGAAGTGGCATCTTCCAACTATTTTCTGGAGTAGCAATTTTCATGATCACGTGCCCCTGAATCTACATTTACAAGACTCTTTTAAGACTCGGGGACTCTATGATAAACAATATGCCAAAACCCACATAAGAAGTCAGTTGTCACAGGTATAAGGTGCATGGGAAAGATGCCCAGGGTTAAGTAGCCAATGTGTGAACCTGGCCATCTAAAACACTGGCCAGGAGTAGGCAGAGACTCTCGCCTTAGAGCCTCTCTCAGGGTGACAGTTTATGCTGCTTTCAAGCAAGTCATTATTTGCTTATTTATAAAGATGTTGCCCCCTAGGAATCATTAACTTGTTTCAGAGTTTCTCAATCGAGGCAATTTTGACATGTATGGCTAGATAATTCTTTGTTGTGGGGAGCTGTCTTGTGAATTATAGGATGTTTACATTGCTAAATGTCCCCAGAGGGCGGGGATATACATACACACACTCGTGTGTGCGCACACACACACACACACACATATACATACATACATATGTACTCTATATGTATCACCTTCATTAGATATATTTTGATTTATTTATAAATGATAATGGTGACCTACTGGGAGTTGCTAAGAGTGCAGCTCTAGAGTATTCTGACTTGGCCACTTACTAGTTGGATGCCCTTACCAGCGGTTCTCAACCTTCCTAATGCTGCGACCCCTTAATACAGTTCCTCATGCTGTGGTGACCCCCAACCATAAAATTATTTTCGTTACTACTCTATAACTGTAATTTTGCTACTGTTATGAATCGTAATGTAAATATCTTTTTATTTTCCGATGGTCTTAGGTGACCCCTGTGAAAGGGTCATTCGACCCCCAAAGGGGTCGTGACCCACAGGTTGAGAACCGCTGCCTTAGACAAAGGACCTAACTTGTTCTGGGCTTTGGTTTCCTCATTTGTTAACTGTGCATAATAATAGTGGTTTCTTCATAGTGTTGTTATGAGGATTAAATTAGACAATCTATATAAACACTAAGAACAATACCTGGTACACGGTATATGCTTAATAACTCTGATCAATTTAATCCTATTTAATACTGTCTCTTACATGTATTGTGTATATTATAAAACATGTATAAAGATAAAGGGATATACAGCTTATGTATGCATATGTGTGTATATATATAGAGAGAGAGAAAGGGAGAAAGCTAATACTCTCTTCTCATCACCCAGTGGATCATGTTGTCCATATGCTTCGAGACCCCTTGTGGGAGCATTGCTTTAATAACATCAAAGTCATGGCTTTTATTCATTATAGGCTCCTTAGCTTTTGACCTGTCCCACAGGTACCAACTTTAAATCTAGTCTCAACAGGATAGTAAGGATATGTAAATCTAACCTCAACATGTGAGAATATTGAGTGAGAGCAAAACACCTGAATCTACCAACTGTTCTTGGTAAAAACAGTGCACAAGACACTCCAATAACAAGGGGAAATCAGTAAACCCTGGGCACTATGGGCAGGCCCTGAGATTTGGGATCTTGTCCTCACCTGAGACTCATCCCAGCCGGTGAGGTAGATATTATAGCTGAGGAAGTCGGCATTGTTCTTCTCCTGCATCTGGGTCTCGAGCAGCTGCAGCAAGTCTGCAAACCACTCAAAGGCATGTGTGTCCCGGCACAGCCAGTAGAAGTAGATCTGAAAGAGGGATGGATCATGAAGCAGATTATTATATTTATTTTTTTTTTAAAGATTTTATTGGGGAATTCGGGAAGGAGAACAGCCAAGTTGTTGTCCTTCAGTCTTAGTTGTGGAGGGCGCAGCTAGCTCAGCTCCAAGTCTAGTCGCCATCCGGCTGCACATCAGCAGCTCATGGCTGTTCGACTGAAGGTGCCATGTTCAATCTTAGTTGTGGGTGGGTGCAGCCCACCATCCCATGCGGGAGTTCAACCAGAAACCTTGTTGCTAAGAGAGCATGCTCTAACTACTGAGCCATCCAGCCACCCGTTGGCAGCCCAGGGCAGCTCAGCTCAAGGTGCCGTGTTCAATCTTAGTTGCGGGTGAGTGTAGCCCACCATCCCATGTGGGAGTTAAACCGGAAACCTTGTTGTTAGGAGCACATGCTCTCACCAGCTGAGCCATCCTGCCACCAACTCAACTCAGACGTAGCTCACTGGCCCATGTGGGAATCAAACAGGCCACGCTGTTGCTCAGAGCTCGTGCTCTTAATCAATTGAGCCATTCGGCCAGCACCAGATTATTATATTTCAATAAGACCTATCAGCATTGACATAGGGATTTCTTCCCCTGCCCCCAACTTTTTCCTGGTACTCAGCAAGTCTAGAAAGAGTTTTTCAGAAAGCTCTGGACATGTGACAAGCTAGTTCACATGGGCCTGCTCTGGCCTTCACAGTGGCAGGGCAGTAAACAAATAGCTTGGCCTCAGAAATATGTAGCTTAAGAAAAAAACATTAGCCCACTACTTTCTTTCTGGGTCTGCTCTTGCCTTCCCAGAATCCCTGGCTGCCTTTGTACCTCTTCTCACAAAGGCCACTGGAATCTAGACTAGCAGGGGCTGCCACAGGACTGCTTCCCTGCCTGCCACTGCCCGACATTCCTGAGTTCCTGGGGGAAAAGGCAGTTCTACCCACACCTCCCTCACATAGAAAAGAGGAAAAGAGAAGAATGGAAAGTTAAAGTAAGCTCAGTGCCCCTATTAGAGGTTATCACCATAGTTATTAGAATGTCTCAAGTTTTATTAAAGATGTCCTTTATGAGACAATGAAACCAAATTCACATGGGACAAAAAAAATCCCCTGGAAACTTATTCTGAGGCACTATCCATGAGAAAGTAAAAGTTGCATGAAGGGACAGGTCGCTTGCCCTCCTCCTGCAACAGAAGTATTGCAGGACTGGAAATGGAATTGATCTCGATATCTAACCTAGGACGTTAGAGAAATTATTCTATATCCTCTTAATGGAACATGAAGGAGTCATTAAAAAGGATTATTATAAAGGCTATGACAACACTGAAAGATACTAATGTTTTCAGAAAAGCAGGACATGAAATTGGACGTACTCAATATTTACAACTTTCTAAAAATATGACAACATGTAGGAAAACATTGAAAGCGAATATACAAAACAGGATAGCTTTGGATTGGGGCTGTGAATACTTTCTCTGTACCCCAACTTTCTTTCTTCTGAATTTCTTGTGATATAGTATACTATCTAGTAATATACAAATACAGTATATTACTTTTACTAAGGGGCCTGCTTATATGGAAGCACATTTATCTTATCCAATAGCTCTTTTGTTGTTGTTGTTTTTTTTGTTTTTTTTTTTTTAGCTGAGCCATCCTGCTACCGGTTGGCAGGTCAGCGGCTGCTCAGCTCGGGCCGGGACTCGAACCGCTGTTGCTCAGAGCTCAAACTCTTGAGCGAGCTCTTAACCAACTGAGCCACTCGGTCAGCCCCAATAGCTCTTTTAAGAGAATCCTGCCTCTCTGGAACCACCCCGAACCTGCCTGCACTTCACTTGGTCTGTGCCAGCCTCAGCCCAAAGGCTCTCTCAGGCTTCACTTGGAGGAGCGTGATGGCTATTCTGAGCCCTCTGAAAAATGAAGGGACCTACCTTTTTGAGCCTCAGATTGGTGGCGTTATTGCAGTATCTGTACCAGACTGACTTGAGAATGGATGCGAAGGGTGTGACCCCAATCCCTGCTCCCACTAACATCACCACCTCGTAGCTGAACACATCTTCACTGGCTGTGCCAAAGGGCCCATCAACCGCTATCCTGGAGGGAAGCATGGGAGGGGATGGTTATAGAGATATTTTGCTCTTCAGTGTAGAATGGGGCACACATTTTTCCTGGGGTTGTGCAATATGTCACTTCAAACCAGGACAAGGGATCTATGGGGCACTTCCTTCTATGAAACAGCTTTCAAGTAACCAACTTTATGTCAACTTTGGGGTTGGAAGTACAAAGAGAAAGTTGTAGCTAACGGAAAATATTTGGTAACTCTCAGGGGTATTTTATTCATCTCTCCAGCCCTCTTTATCCACAAGACACACGCGCGCGCGCGCACACACACACACACACACACACACACACACACACACACTCACACACACATCTGTATTTCTTGCCAGGGCATTCCACTTGAAATTTTGGCTTACATTGCATATTGAAGTAAAGTGAGAAATTTCTATATCATAACAACTTATAGATTGAATAGCTTCACTTTTCATTTATCTATTCATTGAGTTATTCAACACACTTTTCTTCAGCATCCGCTGTGTGACATCATTGTTAGGCATGTGAGAAGAAGGCAAAGTGAATAATATATGGCATTTACCCTCAAATAAGGTATGCCAATTAAATTTTAACAATGTCTTTGATACACCATAATTTTGTTTGTTAGGAAAGTTAATATACCTTACCTATCAAAAGGAATTTGGGAATATTCATTATCAATATTTGATTCAAATATTTTATATTTCACATAAGATTTATATAAATATATGCACAGCCACACCATGCACATAAAATGGGAGAACACAGAAATAGCTACCTATGTTTGTAGAACCTGTGTATTTTGTCAGACTCAGGAGACAGTGAAAGATGGGAAAAGAGAAGCTAGTTAGTGACATTTTTCCTGAATTTGAACACCTTTGTAATATGTGCTTTGTACTCACTTGGGTAATTTCCAGGCATCTTGAAACTCTTGCTTATCACAGCCACAAGCTTTGAAGAGTCCCTCTGTCCAGTCCCCCACAATGCGGATATGGATGCTAAAGAAGTCTTCCTCAGGGGCGGAGGTCAATGTGAAAGGGTGCCACTCCAGCTTGGACACCTTGGGGCACTTGACAAAAATGTATTGTCCCACCTCCATCTTGAATCCCTTCTTCTTCATCTGTAGCTCGATGGTTTTGAAAGGGTGAGTGACCACCTGCAGAACAAAACACATCTCTGGAAACTACACATTCCCCAAATACTTGCCTTTACACTGTCCATATGGATAAAAGGCTGAGCTAATATGCCCCATCCAGGTCCCTTCTTTAGGGCCAACACAGCAGTTCCCCAGCAGATGTGTCTCACATCGGGAATTGCCCTTGACTGTAGCCCATGGCCAATGATGAGCCGATGCAGGGATACAAAGGTCTGGCCCTTCTCCTCAATTTGGGACAACTTCAGGGGGCCATTCCAACTCCAGCACTCCCTGCAGGATCAGCTGAGGCTGCAGTCCGAACCACACTGAGGGTCAGCTTTTTCCTTTCCCCAATCTTGCCTTTAATTTCTTTGACAGGTTCATCTCCTGAGAATATGTCCCAATAAACCTTCTCCATGTAGTTCTCTGTCTCAGAGTCTTTGCCAGGGAATCCAACCTAAGACACCAGCCCACTGTCATATTTTTTTTTCTCAAAGAAGTTAAGGCAGATGCTAGAAACAGGAAGGAAATATGGTTTCCTGCTCATTCTTTCTGTCTCCCCAGGGTGATGATCGAGAGCCTTAGCAGCTGGACTGAAGAAATAGGAAACTCCACTGGCTAGTTATTTAGCACCATCTCCCAAATCAAGGCTGACTGTGCTGGTCTGTCTTTGTCCTGAATCATACCTTGAACCTGTCTGATTCCATGCATTGCTTTTATGTTTCTCCTTATCTGAGGAATACACCATCCATCTTTTCCAAAGCCAGGCCCTACCCACCCACTGCTACCCATCCACGTGCATGAATGTTGATAACACCTTTGTTTATAATAGCAAAAAAATTGGAAACAGTCCAAATGTCCATCAACTGGTGAGTTGGTAAATAATTTTAAAAAATAGAACATAACAAAAAGCTCTCATTTCAATACAGAAAGTCATATGCTGTTTCCTTGACAATTCCTGACACACCTAGAAGGACTTCATAAGTACAACTAAAAACAAACCAAGGAATAAAAAGAAAGAAAAATCAATAGGAAAAAAACCCAACAAACCCAGCAGCTTCCTAATGTTGACTGATCTTGCTGAGCTTTTCTTTTCACCAGTGAGGATAAATAGAATGGGAAGTCTTTAATAAAAATTGCCAAACATTTCCAAAACTTGTGATTGAAATATGTCTTATATGCTAACGCTGTAATGAATTTCCCTTCAGCACTGAAATAAGGAGTTGTGAAGCTTCATTTTGCAAACAGAAAATAAAAATTTATCAAAAATTATTTTGAAAATTCTGTTTGTCATGTTGCAATGTAGTATAGTGAAACTAATTTTTACCATATTGCAATTTTGCTACCATAGGCAAATTGGGATTTAATTTAATAAAATGTACTAGTGGGACAGCATTACCCCTGGAATGCTTTGGGATAACACTTTCTTATGGGTGTTTACATGAGAAGAAAACAACAAGTTTGCCTTAAATGCATGTGTAAGGGAAACGCTTATCTGGTTGGTCTGTTCTGGTCTAGTAAGGGAAATTTTGTGGTTGCTCTGTTTGCTGATCTGTGGGATTTTTCCTATAGTACAATAAAAGTATCACAAAAGGAGAATTGTTGTGGCTTCTTATATTTCAAGGTTTCCAACACCAGCTGGACTGTCTTTACTATGGCCTTCCATAGATGCCAAGAAAGAAAAGCTAGGGTGGAGGAACGAAAGAATTTGTGTGTTTTCTAAATATAACCCATGGTAGGCTTTTGGTAAATACGTATTTCCCCATGTATAAGATGCACCCTTTTTCAAAAAATTTGGGGTCTAAAAACTGGGTGCGTCTCATACAGTGGTTGTATGAGTGCAAAAACAAGTGCGAAAAAAGTGGGAAATGCAAGTAAAAAAAATTCTACAACCACTGTATAAGATGCATCCAGTTTTTAGACCCCAAAATTTTTGACAAAGGGTACATCTTATACATGGGAAAATACGGTACTTTTTAACTGAATTGAATCGAATTAAATTTTATTTGATAAAAAAACAGTCTTGTTTGGAGTTTTCAGCTACTATAACAAGAAGTTTCTATTTCTATTTATTTAGTCAGATTTATTTATTTATTTATTTATTTATTTAATGATGAGAAGCAGCATATAAGTGTTCGGTGGAAAGCCACTACATACTTGGAGCTAGGAGACTCAATTCTAGTTGCAGTTTAGTTACTAACTTGTTTAAGGCTTTGGGTGCTTTAACTCTGATATTCTATGATTACATACAAAGCACAGAAAAGGATGTAAAGGGGACCTGGGAAACTATCTCAACCTCAGACTTGCCCTTAGTTCTCTGCTTCTTTTTGCATCTGAATATTTTAAGGCTTACTGTATGCCCTTTTGAACTTACCTCTTGCTTCTCCACTCTTAACCACATTATCACTCTATATACTCCCCTTCTACCCGCCCCCCTGACACACACACCACATTCATTTACGTAAAACACTTGAGTTCATTTTTCAACAGAAATTGTTAATTTCTAGCTTCCCCAGTTAAAAAGCCCTACCATTTGATTATCAAGCTAAGTACGTTGAAATTAACCATAGGTCATATCTCTGTTATAAGTTTAATCAAAAGAAAGTGAGTAAAACAGAGCGCTGACCAATGATATAGAGAACTTGGGTAGACTTGCCCATGATATAGTTAGATACTATTAGTAATTCCTAAACCAGCCAATACCTTGGTGATGACCACTTTCTGTTGAGACCGCCAAAATCGTACCAACCTCTCACAGAGATAAAGGAACATGGGACCCACTATCCATTTCCAAGTCTGTAATCAGAGCAAAAAATAAAAATAAATAAAAAGGATGTGTTAAGTGGTGATAGCTAATAAAAGACGCATGGGGACAAAACGTTTTAGAAGTCATCTTAATCTTTGTAGGCTTGTTTGAATATTTTATATTAGATCAGTAAATTTCTTCTACAACAGAATGCATGAAAAATATCTCAAAGTAAAATAAAATTTTGAGTCAGTATAAAAGGAGCAACCTCTTTGCCACATTGCGGAACTATATCTACAGTATGAAACTTTCCCAAGAGGAACTGTCCACAAGGATGGGATTTCCTCCTAGTGTTGCAACAGCAGTTGCAATAACCCCACTTCAGAGCAAGGTTGGTTTCGGAATTAGCATTTCCCCAAAAGATAGAATTTCAGCAACACCATATTTTTAATGCAATTGCTTTCAATTGTTATGTAGTCAAAGTTTATTCTTTTGCAAGATGAGAATTTTTATGTAAGAATTTAGCTGTTTCTCCAATATCCTGGTAAGTTCTAGGAGCTACACAATATGCTTGCTAAAAAATCCAAAGGAACAAAACCGAAGATTTTCCTCTGTATTCCCCTCTTGTCTGAATCTGTGGTGTTTCAGAACACTGGAATTACCTGGTAGCATTGTTGCCTATATAAAAACATTTAGGTCAAATAGATCCATCCTGAGACTCAGTTAGGTTCCTAGTTTAATACCTGAAGTAGCAAAGAATTTTAGAAGGCAATATCGTCTAAAACAGCGGTTCTCAACCTGTGGGTCACGACCCCTTTGGGGGTCGAATGACCCTTTCACAAGGGTCACCTAAGACCATCGGAAAACAAAAAGATATTTACATTACGATTCATAACAGTAGCAAAATTACAGTTATAGAGTAGCAACGAAAATAATTTTATGGTTGGGGGTCACCACAACATGAGGAACTGTATTAAGGGGTCGCAGCATTAGGAAGGTTGAGAACCGCTGGTCTAAAAGATGACATTCCAGAATGAATTCCAAGAAGGAAAAAAAAATCACTAAGTGCTACTCATAGTCTCACAAATGGTCTTTCTATTAAATTATTTTTTAGAAACTTATTATTGGAAGTGGAGGGCATCTAGTTTTAATACCCGAAGTAGCAAAAAATTTTAGAAGGCAATATCACCTAAATGTCCCCATCTCTAGCCAGAGTTGAAGAATATCTGCCCCAAAGTCAGTAATGTTCTCCTACTGGCCTTTGTTTTCATGACACAGGTTTTTAAAACAGTCTGGCATCATCCATCTATTTCCTGGGTGCCACCATGGGGCTTCACTGAATGGAGCCAGAGTTCCATTCAATATTAGAGGACATTGGGGCTGGCCGAGTGGCACGTTGGTTAAGAGCTGGCTTGGGACACCAGCTCTGAGCAGCAGGGCCCCGGTTCGGATCCCACATAAGGGCCAGTGACACTGCACCCTCTACAGCTAAGATGGTGAGCAGCAGCTCGACCTGGAGCTGACCTGCCATGAGTTGCCAGCAATGGCATAGGCTGCAGCCCCTGCTGCAGTGGGCTGCCATAAGCTACTGTGTGTGACCGGCAGCCAGCGTGAGTGGCCAGCAGCCGGTGTGAGTGTCCGTCCAGAGGCCGGCGACTGATCTGCCTCACCCGGGAAGAGCGCAATGATGGTGCCAACTTGGGCCAGTGAAGCAACATCCTCCACAACTAGACTGAAGAACAAAAGGACAGCAACTTGTCTGTTCCCCTTCCCCTGACTCCCCAGCGCTGTTCCCCTCCCCCTTAAAAAAATTTAATATTTTTTTAAAATCTTAAAAAAAAATTAGAGAAGATTTCCTCTAATGTCCCCCCAAACCCAGAAGCTCCTTTGAGGTAAATGCCTGTTAAAGTAGTAGTACTCTGACTCTACCTATCTTTGAGGCAATGTGTTTTCTTGTCCTTAAGAGGTCTTGCAATACAGTTCCCTTTTTATCCTTTCTGTTGATGTCTGCATGTAGTGGGGACACTTCACTGATGTGTCTGGTTGCTTTTATTAATGAGTAAGGATGCTAAAAGATGTTACGTCCTCAGACAGCATGCTGTGTCTAGAGGAAGAGTACTCTTATATTAGGAGAGTAGGAAAAAAAGGAGAAAACGGGATGGGAAATTTACCTTTATTTTATATTGTACTTAAGGAAAAAAATAATGATTCTGCTCAGATGCCCTGTACCAATATTGATGTTTGCCTAGTTTTATACCAATGGCTAGCATGATAACCAATAATGTATCCTGCTTGCCAAGGAAGGGAAAGATATGAACATCACAGGGCCCACTTCTCCCTCTATGGAGCAGAGATATTGAGAATACACAAAATGGAGCTCTTTGAAGTTCCCAACAGAAGAAGGTAAATATTTCAGCATGTTTTTCCCTTGGTCACCCTTGGTACACTCCACTTCTGCCCTACCATGTAGTACCATTGGGTGTTGGTATGAGCCTGGCTGTCCAACGTCTTTTATGCCTCATAGACAGGACCTCCTGATGCCTAAAGGCAACCCTATATGTTACCTCATCAATTTCCTTCCCAGCTCTAAAAGCTGTATAGAAAGTCTTACTTCCTGGCATCTGAAGATACATCTAGCTCCTTATAGGTGTTTTTACCTGAGCTACCCAACTCAGCTCATGATGGAATCCCTCTGAAAATCATTAACTGGTATTAATGTGGCCCTCACATCCAGAAGAGAAGAGATGGAAATTCTTGAACCCAAACAGCATTTTAAAAAACAATTATTTTCCAAGTTTTACATTAGGATGTTCATAAAAGACCAATGCAAAGCTTGCTTTTCAAGAAATAATTCTAGACAAGTATAGCAGAAAAAAATGTAGATATTTATAACATTGTAGCAGTTCTATGATATTTGTAATGGACAACTCTATGACATTTGTATGTATTTCTTAGACACAGTTTGAAGATTCTGGTAATGAAGTGGTAATAGCAACAATGAATTGTACATACCATAGGAGGGTTCCCATAGAACTGCGGGACTGGGCAATTCTCTATTTTTCCCCAATCTGAGATGTTTTTATAACATATTTCTGGATTGTGCTCCTTCAAACTCTCTGGAGTTTGCCCACGTACAATTCGCCTGGGGAGGAAACGTAAGTCCAGATTATTCTATAGCAAGAAATTAAGCAAATTTTTTGAGATTGCAGGCATATTTTAAGTATTCTAATATGGGTCCTGTACTTTTCACTTAAAAGTTATATCTTGTTGCTGTCTCCGAATAGATTAGAGAAAGGGAAAGAAAATATGTGATGTTTAGTAATAGAAAAAATATGTACAGGGGAACAAAGAATGTTTATTTATATGTAACACTATAGAGGGTAAGTTTTGGATTATCAATACATGTTGTCTTAAAGGGGGCCTTTGTGCTTCTGTTTTGAATATTATTTTCCTTTATAAGCAAAGAAAAACAGAAAAAACTGCACATCTAACAAAGCAACTGCTAGCCCGTACAGTGCCTTTGTGCAAATTAGAACAAGATGCCCCCTCTGTGTGGACAGTCCTACAGGCGAAGAGCTCGGCCAGCACAACATGGGCTGATTTTATTGCCCTTGGCCAGGCACCCTTGTGTAGTTGACAGCCCATACCATCATCCACAGTAGACCCGAGGCTTAGTACAAGCACTTTATTTGTTGTTTCAAAATTGTCTACATTAAGCCAAAAGGTTGAAATCAATTTAAGAAGACTTAACTTGGTGGATATTGTGACATTCTCACAGCTGTGAACACTGATGGTGTGACCCTTGATGTGCTCAGAGAGTCTTCACTTCAACAAATATTAACTGAGCAACCCCTAAAACTTAGGACAATGTGGGGCTAGTGGGACAGACGGAGGGTGGCACAAAGTTGAATTAGTCAAGTCCCTGACCTCAAGGAACATAAATGGCAGGGTCTTCAGAATATATAAGAAGAGCCACAGAAGGCCCTTTGTGAAAGTGTCTTTGGGGGACCTAAAATGTACTGTGCCACTTGCTATATTCTGAGAATGTTTTCTTTTGTTTGTTTGTTTGTTTGGGTTTTTTTTTAGCTGAGCCATCCTGCCACCTGTTGGCAGCTTAGCGGCAGCTCAGCTTGGGCCGGGACTCAAACCGCTGTTGCTCAGAGCTCAAACTCTTGAGCGAGCTCTTAACCAACTGAGCCACTCAGCCGGCCCTCTGAGAATGTTTTAATTCAAGGTCATTCACCATCTTTTTCTATCCCTAGGTCTTCAGGAAGAGAATGACCATGTATTGAGCATCTATTAGGTGTCAGGACTGGGGAAAGGCACTGTATAACAATTATCTCAGTGAATCCTCATAACAAGCCTGAAAGGTAAGAGATAGTTCTCCCATTTCATATATGAGGACAACAAGGCTCAGAGAGAGCAGGTAACTAGTAGCAGAATGGTTGGTGAAAACAATTCTGGACCCAAGCCAGACAGGCTTGATTTCAAATCCCAGAGCCACCCCTTACTGATTTGCTGGTCTTGGGCAAGTTAGTGAACTTCTTTTGAGCCTCAGTTTCTTCAGCTGTAAAATAGGTGTACCAGGACCTTATCAAAGGTTTATTTTCATAATCAATTGGCATGATGCACGACAAAGGCCAGTAATACAGTAAGGGTCCAACAAATGACAACTATTAAAGCTCTTAATGCCCAAGTTTACGTGAGGAGAAGTAAAAAAACAAAACAAAAAACTGGTTGTCTCCTTCTCTCCTCAATGCCAGGATCAGAAATCAGAAAACCTGGTTTTAATCCCAGTTCAGCTGCTACCTAGACATGACTCTGAGCAATCAGTCAATCAGTGTAAGTAGCAGATTCTCATCAAATGGAGAATGGGGTAAATATATCTCCTCCGCCTGCTCCAAAAAAAAAAAAAGTAAAGAAAAGAAAAGAAAAATGCTCATCTATGAAACTATGCCAATGTGAAATAGGATTTCTAAACTAGAGAGGGGAAGACATTCTCTTTTTTTTCTCTAAAACAGGTTCTCTAAAACAGGTGGATTACGGTCAAGTTCCATTTAAAGATATTCAATTGCTTTAGGAGAGTCAAGAGATGCTTTGCCTACAAAGATTTTTCAGAACGTCGAAAGTTGATTAGGGGTCAGAGTCAGCAAGTTGATCAAGAATGCATGCAAGTGGTTACCCAATGTTACTTTTCCCCACCCTTCCCCTTTTCACACTCGCTTGGCCACTTCTAGGCCAACTTGGCTCTGAGCAGTTATTGAGCCTGAAGCATCTACTTCCCCACCCTTATTTATCTGGAGTCTCATTCTCACCAGTGAGTTTCCCCAAGCCTGCTTTTGTGTGCAGGTGGAAGAATCAGCTGGTGTAAAACAGTAGAAAAAATATACCTGGTATTAAAGAGGATTCCCAATGAGGCAAACTCCCCCAACCACACATCAGACACCATTTGTCTGAGAGCATTTATCACAGCCTGCCTCACACCACCTGGACTCCATTCCCAGCTGTGCCACTTACCAACTGGGTGGCTTGGGCTACATATTTTACCTTTTTTTAGTCTGGTTTCCTGTCTACAATTTCACCAGGAAATGGGGATACTAAGAGCATCTCTACGTCTTGGGGATTTAAAGAAATATTTTGTGTCTGTAACCAGTGCTCACTAGAAGTTAGTTCTTACTTTTATTATATTAGAATGCTTAACGCCAGTAACTATGTATTTTTCCTTCTAGTATTCCCCACAGTGACTGAGATCAGTTCTCATACACAGTGGGCAATCAATAAACAATTGGCTTGAATTAAAACTCATTGAACTATAGCAAACTTTTTCAACTGATGAGTCATTAACTGTTCTGGTTTGGGAGTTAGTCTAATATACTAGTGACTAAGCCACAGGAAAAGTCATTGTAGACATCTGAGATCCTACCAGCCTTCCCCACATGTATTTATGTTTGCAAAGATACTCAGACTTTGGTGTATTTTCAAGCTTGCTATTAAATAGCAGCACTATGACTAGCTATTAATTAGGTGAAAGAAACTAAAGTGCTGCTGAGTGGTTTCTATCACACTGACCTCTGTTGTCCCCTCATATTCTCTTAGAAGATAGGCTGACCACACACAGACAAGGAGGTCACTGTGCCTTGAACACAGCATCACATCTGGAAACTAAAGGTGTGATATAAAGTACTTGGCATGGGAGTTTAAACACTCACTCAGCTCCATGGATGGCGAGACCAATAAAGAAGATCACAAAAAGATGGTGTGTATACCAAAACACTTCAAAGTAAGACCTGCGGATGGTTTTGGTGGAGGAGGTAATAATTAATATGAGGCACAGAGTGATGACAATTCCAGTGATGCCTGCCAAACGAGTCACAGCCACGTACAGGCCTCCTTCAGGATTCTGTAAAATACAAACACACACACACACACACACACACACACAACACACATTATTTATAGGCTTTCAAATGCAGGACTACCTATATATAAGGTGTCCAATATATAGGGCAATATATATTTTCATTCCCCCTTTAGATAATCCTAACAATCCCTCACAGAGGGGTACAGACTTAGAATAGATATTTCTCAATTTCAAAAAGTCTTACGTGGTTAGGTGTCATAGGGAATATGAATTGATACACTGAAATAGTTCTAAGTATGAAAAAAAGGAAATCAGTCTACTATAAGATGTCCTAAAAGGAGCTCAAGATCTTTCTTCCTTTTGATTTGGAAAGCGACACCATGCTTACTTTGCACATTCTGGGCATGTCTAACACCTTAGGCTGCATTTCCTCAAAGCAGACCCTGAGATGAGGATTCATGGGCAAGTGATTCAGAAAAGCTGTGCTCCAGAAGAAACTGGTAAGGGAGTGGTTAATAGGACAGGAAGGAGGAACAAGTCAAGTAAGAGGACGATCTCAGGCCAAGTTTTATAGAGGATAGCTTCATCCTGATGCTGCAGGGGAACTACGGAGGGTAAAGTCACACCTCAGAGTTTATCGTGACTCAAAACAAGGAAGCTGGGCCGTCATGACCTGCACCCATCAGTTATTGGCTAAGGGCTGCTCAGGGAGAGGTAACTATTCAGGTTGTTTCAGATCTCTGAGCTTGTGGGCAAAGGGACTCCAATAACCCTAGGAAAGTCCTCTGGGGAAGACACACTTGTACAGGAAATTGAAAGTGAAAGCACACATAAGAGTTGGGGAGCACAGACTCAGTAAAAGTGATTCAAAGAGATCTGGGCACAACACTGCACTGTCGGCTCACTCACCTAGTAGGTTCACAATGCCACCCTTCTATATCATTGTACAGAACAATGCACAATATAAAAGAAAAAGTACCCAAGACATTACAGAAAAAGAATTCTTGTTTTGTTTGATGCTGTTTAATTCTGTCCCTAAGAAGACCAAACAAGTTTTTTTCATGTTAGCCTGAGGATAATTACTTTTGCAGAATTAAGGGACCTTTCTTGTAACCCTCTCTAAACAGAAGGAAAGATGTTTGGAATTCGGTGTCTAGACATGTGATTTGGCCATCCTCCTAAGCCCTTGGGCACTTGAAGACAAGTTGGAGCTTCTCCCTCTGAGTGTAACAAGCTTCAACAACTGCTGGAAGGGAATAAGTCCTTGCCTGTGGATATCCAAAATGGCTGCCCCTGGAGAACTGCTGAATTACTCCCAGTGCACTGTGCTACTCAAGAAGTGGTAATCAGCAGACATAGGCCTCCCCTTAGATGTTGTAAGTAAGAAAGAACAAAAGCATCACTGACACTTGTCAGCTGGTGGCTGGCCTGGTACTAACACCTAGACCGGAGTGTTCCCTATATCACATAAACAATTTCATAGAACACCAGCATCATTTTGTGACTGTTACGGAGGCAAAAAACTAACTACTCCAAAATCCTGTCTGAACCAAGACCAAAACATGGGTGACTGCTGCTTCTTTACCTAATACAGATTTAGCTCCATTTTATTTCCCTGTGCCCCCTAGAAAAAAATTAAGATATCCAATCCTAGCACTGCCCCCAATTCCTGACCATGCCCGATCCAGACCAAATCCTTGCTTCCTTAAGCCCCTCCCAAATCGTTTAACACAAGCCCAAGTCCTATAACAAGCCTCTCTTAACACCCTCCTGAGATTACTTACTACAACAAAAGAGACCTCACACACATTTTTCTCGGCACCCACTTTCTTAAAACCTACCGATAGTCAAATTTTGTCATTGTTGTTATTCTGGCCAAGCAAAGTTCTTCATTCACTGAAATCTAGTCCTCCGTTCTAATGATCTAGGGAACATCAGAATCAGGACATAAGAAGCTTACCTTGATTCTCTCTCGAGCAAAATTGAGGTAAGTTTCACCAGGCTTATCTCCAATGTCAGAGAGTGCTATTGAGTAAGGATCAGAATTGTTGACTCGGGCATTCACACACCACTCCACATTAAATAGATGTGCAATGGTGTGAATCGCTAAAGAGGGCAGAAAAGAGAAACAAAGAGGGTGAAGGGTATGCACAGTGTTATTGTAAGCTGGGTTTGTCTAAAGCCCCTGACTCTATGATAAGCTATCGGGAGACAGAGGGATGGCCCAGGACATTTTTAAACAAGAACTGGGTCTCCAGGACCAGAGAGGTAAGGCAATTCTAGCGGGTAAGCTATTCTGTAGTTGTGTGATAAGTAGGCAAATCACTTAACCTCTCCTGTCTCGGTGCCCTAATTTGCAAAATGTAGGTGTCAAACTACACAATCCTGAAGACCCAGGTAAGCTCTAAGATTCCACAAAATAACCTTGGTCTCTGAGAATATTTAGATTTGTTCTGATTGTCTCTCACCCCCAATATATTTGTGCTCAAACCAGAAGACTCTCTTGTAATGTATGCTTTTGGCTGTTCTTTTCACCTGACTCTGACATTACTCCAGAGAGAGATGACAACATTGTATTGAACTGATACAAACCGATGGCCATAAGAAAGAATCTCTTTTCAAAAACTGCATTCTTTACTTAATGAGTACGTACTTACGTGGGACTTACTAGATGCCAAGCATGCCTATAAGTGTTTTATAATTACTTAATCCTTATGAGTCAATGATGTAGATACCATTACAATCATTTTATCTTATAGATGAGGAAGCTGGGGCACAGGTTGCTTTAAAATCTTTCCCAAGGCCACCAAGCCAGGAAGTACCAGAGTTAAGAATCAAATCCAAGCAGTTTGGCCCACAGATCTGTGATCTTAATCATTACACTATGTTGCTTTCCAACAAGATTTTATCATACATTTCACTTTTGAAACCATTTCATTTGCTACAGCTCAGAAAGCCTGTATGATCTACTATTAGGTGATGAGGAAGTCAGTTGAACGCCTGCAATGTGAGCCTATTTTACTCAGGTTAGGCACAAACTCCTTAAGGGCAGAGGAAGAGTCTGTTTTCTTCCTGACTGTGTATATGTGCATGCCTATTGCCTGGCACATCAATTATTAAGTGACTTAATGGAGATTTAATAAGGGTCCCAGGTCCATCCCTTCTTTCTTTTTTTTCTCTTTAGAATTGGATTTTTAATTGAAGTATAATTGACTTACAACATTATATAAACTTCAGGTGTACAACATAATGATTTGATACTTGTATATATTGCAGAATGATCACCACGATAAGTGTAGTTAACATCCGTCACCACACATGGTTACAGAATTTGTTTTCTTGTGATGGGAACTTTTAAGATCTATTCTCATAGAAACTTTCAAATACTCAATACAGTATTGTTAACTGTAGTTGCCATGCCCGATACATCCCTTCTTATGCTAAGACCACCACCTTAATAATTGTAATAATACAATATATATGTGTATATATATAAACACATTATATATATATAAGTGTGTGTATACATATACATGTGTGTACACATACACATGTATATACAGATAGATGTATCTCTTTATATGTATGTATAAGCAATAATAATAAATAAAGTGTTTAGTTGATAAGGGTTATCTTGAGTGATTCTCAATTTATAGGCTGTGGCCCCTCGAGGGTTACTACAAGAAATCCATGAAGCTACATGTTCAAACAAGTACTTTTTTAAATGAATGACTAAAAGTTATTATATGTGGACTAACATTTTTGATATTAAAAAGGGTGTAAAGGGATGAGGCAATGGGATTTTATCAGAAGTGTCTAAGATTTTTAAAAAAAGTGTTAAGACTCGAAGGAATAAACCCTAATATTGGGATAGCAAAAAGAGGGGTGAATATTTTTTAACAGAACTCATTAAAAAAAAATACAAAAGGGCCGGCCGAGTGGCGCGATGGTTAAGAACTGGCTTGGGATGCCAGAGGGCCCCGGTTCGGATCCCACATATGAGGGCCAGTGAACTGCCCTCTACAGCTAAGATGCTGAACAACAGCTCGATCTGGAGCTGGGCTGCCCTGAGTTGCCGGCGACAGCGTAGGCTGCAGCCCCTGTGACAGTGGGTTGCCATGGGCTACCATGTGTAGCCAGCAGCCAGCATGAGCGGCCAGTAGCCACGGTGAGCGGCCGTCCAGAAGCCGGCGACTGATCTGCCTCACTCGGGAAGAGCACAATGATGGTGCCAACTTGGGCCAGTGAAGCAATGTCCTCCACAACTAGATTGAAGAACAAAACGACAGCAACTTGTCTGTTCCCCTTCCCCCAATTCCCCAGCACTGTTCCCATCCCCCCAATTCCCCAATTAAAAAAAATACAACATATCTAACTGCCACCTAAAATGCCTACAAAGGCAGACCTCTTGCTTTAAAAAGTATCTAAGAATAAAGGGAACTCTCTGGTTCCAAGTTTTCTCTGCAATCTCAAATATCTTAATAAACTTACCAGTGTGCAGTGCAATCATCCATGCCACCATTTTATGAAAGGTGAGGTTCCTGTCCAGTTGTCTTCGAATTCTTGTTGAGCAGCACTTTGGATTAAGGGGGAAATAATGAAATAGTAATTGTGACAGGAAGGTTTTCTCTGTGCCAGGCATTAGATACATATCATCTCATTTAATTCTCACAACCACCCTAAAACTATATAATTCTACCTCTTTCAGAGATGATAAAACTGAACCTCAGATAGATGTAGTCATCTTCCCAAGGTCAAACAGCAAGTAAGAGGCATAGCCAGCTTAACCAGTATGTTTTATGTTCCCTTACCAGTGACATAAAAAATCTCCTGGAAACCACTGTGTAATTGTATAAAATAGGAATTTGGACAGAAAACATACCTAACCACATAGTTTCTAGTTCAGATTAATTTGTTCAATAAACAAAGGATATAAAAATTAACAAAGGACAGGACTGACTTCAAAGACCTGACAGTTTAAAGGGACACAGACAAGTGAACAGTTCTAGAACAAGTGAATAACTTTAGAACAACACTCTTCACGGACATACACTATGGGGAGGAGAAAAAATACTCCACCTGTCTATGTTGATAGAGATAACACCACAAGGGGCGATCATTCAACAAACAATAACAGCACAAATAACAATAGCTAATATTTACAAAGAGCTTATGCAAAGAGCTGCTTTAAGGGTTTTACATGCATTGACTCATTTCATTCTTACATCAATCCTATCAGAGAGGTACCATGGTTATCACTATATAACAAATGAGAAAACAAAGGCATAGAGAGGCTACCTTGCCATAGGTTACACAGTTAATAAGTGGCAGTGCTGGGATTTAAACTCAGGCTGTGTGATGCCAAAGATATTAATATTTGATATTTCACACCTTATACAATTACTTTGAAATTAAAAATAGTATTTTGGTCAATACATTGGTGTAACTGTCCTAATGGTTTATGTAAAATGATACGGGTTTGAATCTGGATTCAAGTCATTGCCCAAAGTAAAAAAAACAAACAAACAAAAAAAAACCAAGAAAAAAAAAACACAAAACAAAAAAACCTGGCTTGTGGCTGAACCAGAGCTTTGCCCTCCTGAAAACTGGTCAAGTATTCACTCTGGCTGCTTTGTTACCAAGACTAGATATACTGCTACAGAGATTCAGAGAACTTATAAGACGAGCAGAGTGAAGTACCAAAATAAATCAATAAATAATTTTAGGTATTACAAATATCTGGTTCTAAACGTATTCAATTTAAATATAGAGATGTTTAACATTTGGCTCACTTATTTTTAATAGAACGTTCTGATTTTATAGAAAAAATATAATTGTATGAAAAACTGTGTTTACTCCATTATCTCTCAGTTATTGAGGGAGGGGAGGCTGTTTGGACCAGGACAGCAGATTACTGGAACTGCAGAAATACTATAGTAAAGAGACATTAAGGATTCCAGAAAAAAGAAAAAAAGAATTAGGCTTTATTGAGTGCCTTCTGTGAGCCAGGCAAGTTATTCATAATCATTACCTCATTTAATGCAATGAAATAAGTATTATTGTCCTCAATTTACAGATAACAAAGCTAAAGGTAAATCTCATGTTGGCTGGGATCCACGTCTATTTGTCTTTAAAGGTTCATGCCCTTTTTTACCAAACCAAATGTAAAGATATAGTCATTATTCTTTTACCTATCTAAAACCAAGGCAAGAATTTAAGTGTAAGTACTCTATCCGGAAGGTGATCACAGAAAACAAGATTAGGGGAAGTAAGACTGGGAAGGGACAGAAACCAATAAAGGGCGTGCTATCATATCAGTTACCACTATCCTATTATTATATATCAGTGGGCTCTCTGATCAGGGAACTCTGGGAGACTGTGTAGAATACCCCAGAGTTCTGTTTTTTTTATTTCTTTCCTAAAGGGTTACCAACTCCCATTCATCACTGGCTGAAGGCTGTTCCCAGGACATCAGCACCCTAATATTGCGAGCTTGCCTCAGGAGAGGGCTGAAAGAAAATCCTGAGGCACAGAATGACTGGGGCTTTTAAAAGGCAGCTGGCCCATGTATTGGAACTGTCAGTGTGGAAGGAATATGGATAGAGCACCAACAGCATCGGCTATAACCAAGTGTCCACTGGTCCAACTCAGCAGTGACTCAGGCTCTCAAAACAAGGGTTTCCTGTTTGAGATCACTTATGTTACATTTCTGTTGGTGAAAAATTGACTGTCCTTGTTTTCTTATATAGTCTTGTTGTCTTTTGTGTTTATTTCAAGTCCTGTGCTTTGTTTTACTACTTTGCATTCTTGACAATTTTAAGGAAATAACTTTTCCCTGTTTCCCAATTGTTTCTTAGAGTTCTTGTGGTAGGCAGAATTCTAAGATGATCCCCAATGACCTTGTATAATTTTCTCCCCTTGAGTTTGGGTGGGACTTGACCTGTGATATGATGGGGTGTCACTCCTGTGATTTTGTTACATTATATGGCGAAAAAGACTTTGTAGAGGTAATTAAAGTCCTAAATGGACCTTAAGAAGAGAGATTATCTGGGTGGGCCTGACCCAATCACATAAGCCCTTTAAATCTGAGTCTAGAAGTCAAAGATGGAAGAAGTCAGAGATTCTATGCATGAGAAGTATTTGATGCGCTGTTGAGGGCTTGAAGATAGAGGGGGCTGTTACTGAGCAAGGGTTCACTGCCTGACACACATAGAAACCAATACTATGGCACTGGATTTTGAGAAAAGAAAAGCTTTTATCTGCCAGTCGACTGGCAAGAAGGCAAGGCTCAAATGTGTCTGCCGGACCCAGGGTTTGGGGTGGGATTTTCAAGGGTTTCAGCACCGGATCTTCCTGGACAATGGACCCTCCTGTCTGAAAGGATTCCAGCACTCAGGGTCCTGTCATGTCCCGGTCCTTTGGTTCTGTGGGGAAGGGGAGCAGTGAAGGCTTCCCAAGTGTTACTCATGAGTGGTGTTCACAATTGTTACTCATAAGGGGTGTAAACTTTGGTTCTGGGTCTTGTTAGAAACAGGATAAGACCGGTTTGAGCTGGTTTTGCAGTTATAAGGACACATGGCAAGGGCTACAGGGACATCTAGGATCTGAGAGCAGCCCCTGAATGACCATCAGCAAGGAGACAGGGACTTCAGTTCTGAAACTGCAAGGAACTGAATTTTGCTAACAAGCGTGAGCTTGGAAGAAGATTTTTACCAAGAGTTCCATATGAGAATTCAGCCCAGTGGACACCTTGATTCCAACTTTGTGATACTCAAAGCAGAGAACCCAACCACACGATGCTGTACTTCTGACCTGCAGAACTGTGAGCTAAAAACTGGGGTTGTTTTAAGCCACTGAGTTTACAAAAATTTGTTACACACCAACAGATAATTAATACAGTCCTTATTAGAGTGATGGAACATAACTGGAGTCCTAAGAATGAGGGAATTAAAATTAGTAGGGTCAGAAAGCAGTACGGCTGGCCGGCCGAGTGGCTCAGTTGGTTAAGAGCTCAATCAAGAGTTTGAGCTCTGAGCAACAGTGGTTCGATGCCCGGCCTGAGCTGAGCTGCCGCTGAGCTGCCAACAGGTGGCAGGCTGGCTCAGCTTAAAAAAAAAAAGGAGAAAGCAGTACAGAATAACATTTCAGAGAGCAAGTTTTGCCATGAGATATACCTGTGTTATATCCCAGCCCTACAAGCTAGCTGTGTGATGTTGAATAATGTACTCAGCTTCCAGTTTTCTCACCTATATATTTATCATAGTTCTTCCCACTTAGGTCTGTTTCATAGATTCATCGAGAGGTGTTTAATAAATATTTGATTTTTTTGTATTATTATTTAACTTTTCATTTAGTATGGCTTGACTCCCTAGCTAGAAGGTAAGTTTCCTGCATGCAGAGCAATATGTCATGTACTTTTTAAAATTCTTTAATAATTATTTGGTTAAATGAATTACATTTTCACTGTCCTAGAATCTAAGATGATTATAATAAACCAATAGAGATGTATTTACCCACATATTTATCCTCTCTTTTCTACTTCCTGACAAACCATTTTGAAACTCTTGGGGAAAAATATATCGGCTCCTCCATGCTGAATTTGAAGAACAGTTTTTTCTTGGTCTCTACACTGTCTCCACAGGTCTATCCTTATCATCAACATGGATCATCAAAAACATCAAACAATAGATTTCTTAACAGCTTGAGCAATAGAACCTTAGAGAAAAATAAACCGAATGGAGAGATGTGCTTGGGAAATTCAAGGTCCATTCAGTAATACTCTGTTTGATATTAATAGGTAATTTTTTAAACCTAGTTAATATAAAACACATACATTTTATTAAAAGGAAAAACAGAGGTTATTAGTCATCAATGGGCCAGTGGAATGGGTCCTACTAGGACATCAATCTCTAATTATTCCCAGCTCCCTCTATGGTGTGGTCAGGAATGGAAAAAAATCCCAAAAGAAGGCAGAAGTCATGCTTATATGGGGTTTCCAAATACAATTTCTTCACCATTTCCTGAAAAGGGAACAAGACAGCCATTTGGTGGGATGAGAAGGAAGGGCTTTGCTGCTTATGACTGCCCAGCGTTCTTTTGTTCCTCCTCACTACACAGACATCATTTTTATGCTTTTGAGTCACTTCTGGAATTATTGCCAGCCACCTACCAATTACCCAAGTTGCCATCGTGCCCCATAGCTTCATCACTGAACCAACCACCTCCTTGTTTTTGGACTTTTTTTTTCAGTTTTAAGTGTACAAAACAATGTAATAGCTAGACATTTCCACCCCTCACAAAGTGATAGCCCCCTCCCCCAATCTACACCCCTCTCACATTGTATATAGCTGTTACAATTCCATTGACTCTATTCCCTATGCTGTACTCCACATCCTGTGACTATATATATATATATATATATACATATATATATATACATATATATACATATATATGTATATATATATAAAATTATAGTTGGACATTCAATATTATTTAGCTTCAGGTGTACAGTGCAGTGGTCAGGCATCTACACAGTTCATTTAGTAGTCTCCCTAATAAGACAAGTGCCCATTTGACACCCTACAAAGTCTTTATAACATTATTGATTATATTCCCCAAACTGTCTTTCATATCCCTGTGGCAATATTGTGTAAAGTACAAATTTGCTTTTGTTTTCTGAAGGGAAGTTTCTGTTATTGTCGCCTAGAGCCTTGCCCAATCTCAATAACCTAACATTCAATTGCAAGGGAGATTATTGAGTCATCTCGGCAAATTTCTATGCTCTATGCACAGTGCAAGAGAAAAAGAAAGTGAAAAAATTGAGAAATGGTACTAAAAAGAAGTGCATATTTAATGGGGTAGAGCATGAGTTTCTGTAAGTTAGTTACAGAAAGTTAAAAATTCTATGTTAGGTATACCTGGTCTCATCACACATACCATGAGTGAATCTGAATTAGATTTTTATATGCAATTTGGGAGGAATTGCAAAAGCCAGTCTTGAAGCTACAGAACTCAGGGGAAGAAGCTGACAGTAATGCCCAAACTTGGTGGCAGTAGAATAATGTGATAAATATGAAGAACACGACTTTATTTGTACAGCATTGTTTATAATTTTGAATTACATGTTTATTCTCTATCTTCTTCATAAAACTCTAAGCTCCTTGAGCTCATGGCCCATCCATGTTTTACTCTTTACTCGCCATGTGTCCCCAGTGCTTAGCACATAGCTGGCACTCAATAAGCATTTGTTGACCTCACTAGTTGACAGGCTTAATCAACTAATATATGTATAGAATGTCATATTAATTCTTACATTTGCATTATCTCACTTTCTTTTCAGCTAAAAAAAAAAACAAGAACTATGGGACAGGGAGTCCAAGAGACTTGCCCTAGGCCACAAGGTTAGAGAGAGAGCCATGCTGAGGGCATCTGACTCTCAGACTATAGAAGGCTACAGATAAGCGCTCACCTTCTCACCTTTCTGTTTCTTTCAGATTTTAAGACCAGGACTTCCATCCAGTTAGAACTTAGCTTCTGCATGGCAAGTTGGGGTTATTAAGGTTCCTGTATGCTGAACCTCATCCTTCCCCATTTCCTTCAACACAGCAGGCTGAGTCTTTACCCCTATCTTTCCTGGGGTGGGTCAACCCTGCAGATTTCTTTCTCCAGGTAACCAGAAGAATTATAAAGCAAAGTCTAAATGATTAAAACCGCTAGAAACTGAATGGCAGTTCTGGGACTGTTTAGTTTGCATAGGCTCCTACTAACGAATCCTTGAAGTTACAACATCATTGCCATTTCTAGCCTAGGTTATTCAGCATGCTCAAACATTCACGTATATACTGGACTTTCTAAGACCATAATACCACAATAGGACAGTTTTGAGTTTAGGTGGCATGTAGGAAAGTGAATGGGTTGTAGGGGCACGATGACCTGGGTTTGAATCCCAACACTCCCATTTAATTTCATCCTTACTTTCCTGGTTTGATATGCAGATTTCATGAAGTGAGGTCTGTGAAGACCCAATAAGTGGCAGCTATTACGATTTCCAACATTAGTCACAACATGCTCACTAATTTTCCTCCCAATCAGAAAATAAGTTTCATTTGCTAAGTTCACATGAGGCTAGGAAATCTGGAAGGAAGGACACACTCTTGTCTATAAAAGAATTTTGCTTGCTGCTAATTTAAAAAAACACACACATTCTTTTCTATATAGGTCTCTCTGGTTACAGAGCTGACCTCTGCAATTTGAAGAGCAGCCTCATTTCATCCCTATCTTTAGAAACCCTCATGAAGATTTTCCCTCGTGGACCACAGGAAGTCTAAAAGCGGCCATTACAACATGCACTGCTCATGGGTCATGCAGCTCAACGGCAGCGCAATTTAGGCCTGTGGGGTAACAGAATTTCCTAACGGGCCATCCTAATGAAAATACTGCCTGTTTCTCAGGGCTTACTTCCTCTAAATACACAATATTTAAACAGGGAGGGAGAATAAAAATGAATCGTGACTCCTTAAAAACAAAAAGCTACAGTGTATGAGCTTCGTTTAACAAATGTTCACTGGGTACCTGCGGTATACCAAACATTGCACTTTATAGGTGGCTCATCAATAAAACTTTCAAGCAAATGGAATTTGATCTCTGTGGTTTCTGAGGTTGAGAAGATTCTTTAGAAATCCTTATAATCAATGTCTACTGTTAGTTGTAGCCTGCTAATCCTGTATTAGTAAATCGAATGTTGTATAGCTCTTAAAGAAAAAAACTTTCCCCTTAGGATCAATGTGAATTTAGTATGACTAGGAAAAATGAGGCAGAGTTAAAGGCAAATTCTACTTGTTATTGACAGTTTAGACCACTTTCGTTCCCCAAAAGTATTCTCTAATTGCCAAATTAGGTATTAACTCCTCAGCTATACATTCAAAGTCCTAGTTTACCAGCAAAGTCCCAGCTTCCTCTCCACCCTTATCCCAGAAATCTGCCCTTTTTACAATCCCTACATTCCCATCAAGGTAGATTGTCTGCTGTTCTCCTCTAGAAATGATCTCTAATTAATAAGTATTTTTTTAAAAGCTAGTTAATATAAAAAAAAACATTTTTTAAAAGAAAAAAACGGAGACTACTAGTCACTAATAAGACAATGGAATGGGTTCCACCAGGGCATCAATCCTTAACTTTGGAAGATCTACCCTCTTTAATGTGGTCAGGAATAGCAAAAAAAAAAAAAAAGTCCAAAGAGAAGCCAGAAGTCATGTTTACACAGGGCTTTTAAGAACCTGAGTTCCTCACCATTTCCTGTGGTTTTGCTCATGCCATTTTTTCCAGGTAGAAAGTCTTTCTCTCTCATTTACATCTTCTAGAGGCTTATTTTATCTTTATATGCCCATGTCTGATGCCACCTCCTCCAAGAAGCCTTTCTTCACCTTTTGCCTCACATGATATAATTTTCACCTCCTTTGATTCCCTGTAGCTCCTTATTTGTTTTGTGGGACCCATTTATTTGAGTACGTGTGTAGATTCTCAGTTCCTTGTTTCTCATCTTTGTATAATAATATCAATACGAAATTTGTATACCATTTTCCTATTTAATCTCATAATCTTTTTCTTCTAGCATGGTACATTCAGAGGCTCACGAAATTGTTACAGTGAGGGTAAAAGAAGCCCTGGGCATTTAGAAAGCCCTGAATCTCTCAGTTCCACAGGCCCAACACCTCTTAATCACATTCATTATAGTGTGACTCATCGCCCATTAATTCCACCTGCTTGGGATATTATCCACAAAAGAGATTTTTTTCTGACTTAAACATTTTGAGAAACATGACAGTGTAAGGTTAATTCCCAAATTTCACATCAGCTTCATAAAGCCCTTTTCATATACATATAGATTAGATTACATATATCTCTGTGTGTGCCTACACACACACGTTTTATTGCTATTATTGAGGTAGAGGTTGATTGGTGGTTGTTGTTTTAATGTCTGTTCCAGGTTAAATGGTTGTCCCAGGGAGCTCCATCAACAAATAATATAGAAATAAACTACAGATCAGGCATTGCTTGGCTCATAAATATTCCACAGAGGTTAGAATCTTTATAAACCATTGGTTTGCTTTTCTTAAGAACGGGCATTTAGCTTAATGGTTTTTGAAATATTGAGAAACTCAAACATTGGAAATGTTTTCTCTTACCGCACTGGAACCCCTGAGGAAGGAGAGCAGATTTCGACAGACAGGCAGCAGGATCAGCATGCAGTTGAAATTCAGGCAGGCTGCAGGGGCCCTGGCCAACGCCAGTGCTGACTAGAAGAGGCAGGAGAGGGAGTAGGGTGACGCCTATAAGCACAGAACACTTTCCCCAGTTCCCCAGAGTTCCCAGCATGTGGCCCACATATCAGAGGCATCAAGTTATCTAGGAAGGAAGGGTCTTCTGAGCCAAGGGTTTACCTTTAGGGCCTGCTGGGGACCCTTTGTTTTAATCTGGCCCTTACCTCCCCCCGCCCACCCCAACATTTTATTATGGAAATGTTCAAACATAAAGAGAATTTGAAATCATTTCACAATGAATCCCTGTTTACCCATTTCCCACATTCCATCTTTTACATTTTACTATGCTTGTTTTATCACGTATCTATCTACCCATCCCTCCATCAACACATCTTATTTTTTATGCTTTTCAAAGTAAATTGCAGCCATCAGTTGACTTCCTCCTAAATGCCTAAGTATGCATATCATTAACTAGAGCTCAGTATAGAAACTGGGGCTTTTAAAAGAAGGTTTGCTTAGCACTTAGACTGACCTCAACAGTCACTTAAGTTGGTATGGTGTAATGCTTTGGCATTATGATTGTTCATTAAAATACCCAAACAAGTTGAATTTTTTGGAGGGGGAAAGCAAAAGGAAATCATCCTTCTCAGCATCAACCCGAATAAGTTAACAACAACCATAATAATGTAGTATAATTATATAATTATTTCTACAGATGATATATAATACATATTATAATTAGTACTATTAAGTAATGAATTCATGCAGGACATAGCAAATGATATCTTCTGGGGGCAGACGAAATTATTTTCATCTGTAATGAAGAGGAGAACTGGCAGTTTAACAAAACTGGAATTTCCTGAAGATCATTTCATAACATGTCACTAGGAGCAGCGTTCTCCATGCACAAAAGTGGTAGGAATCAGATGATTTACAGAATATGGAGAGTCCCACTTGTCCCACCTATGTTACTCCTGGATCTATCTCTTCAACCTGGCCTTTCATTCCAGAGCCCTTATTAGACTTCTCCTCTAAGCTAAACACTTGTCCATTGGTTTTGGGGAAGAGAGGGATGTTGCTGTGACCCTCTGCCACACTTTTATTTGTCCCACACTGGAAGGCCTAAAGACTCCTCCCCAGGGGGTTGTAATGGAGGGAGTGAGGCTGATGGTGTTGTTTGGGTTGGTCAGAATATATATTGAAAACGTCAAAAGGAATATCAACGTGAATACTTGATTAAAAATGTGAGCTCAGTCAATATTGCATGACATGGAACTTATACTTACCCCAAGAAGTTTCCGAGTGTAAAAGAATTTAGGTGGAACATCATAAACCAGGTAGAACCAGACAAAGAGGAAGACGTTCAACCCCAGCCATACCAGCTGCACAAACAGAAACAGTTGCATGAAGTTCTCACATTTCAACAAGTGAATTTCGTACAATATTGGTGCTAAAACCGAGTCAGGAGTCCCCCAACTCCAGCCTTTGATACAGGTGGTTACAAAGCTCAATATAACCATTTGAGAGCCAGCTCTTTCCTCAGGCAGCAATGCTATACTTTTCTGTAATTAACCTTTCCACCCCATGTTGTTCCCCATGATTGTTTTACGACTTGGTCAGTATGCCAAGTTATTATCAGTCTATCTTCCCTCCTTCCTTTCTCCTCCTATGCTGTCCCTTGCTCCAGTAGGACACTGTGTTCTACTCTCACAGATACTGATAAACTTTCTCCACCATACAGCACCCCACCCAGCAAGTGGGGGTCTCATCAGCTAAGCAGTCAAGCCTTTAATTATATTTGGTAAGTTTTGCTTAACTTTTGAAGGAGGAGAATATTGAGCATGAATGACGGGGTGAGGGGCATGGGATTTTTTTAAAAAAGAGACCCTTCTAGATTGTGACTACTTTTCATTTGAACTACTGAGCGCATCAAGTGATGACACTGCCCAGTCCTCTATGCTCAGCTCCACAGTGATTATTTTCTTAACTGTGCTTTGAAGTACTAAATGTCCATAAATGCTTGAGAACTGTCTCTCTTTAAAAAGAAGGCACTAAAGCAACTCGTCCATTTCCTAATCTTGGCTTTTTTACTCTTGCTTTTCAAGCTGTGCCTTCGCTTTCAATTGAATATGTGAGTATATAAATAGAAGGTCATTTCCTGCAGAAAATTGTGATAGGATCTAAAAGTATAATTTGAACTTGTTTTCTATAGGAGTAATCTGTTTTTAAAATGGTGATAAGAAATCAGGTTACCAGTTCTGAGTCTTCAGAAGAATTCTATATTGCATTACAATGTAGCTTTGGCATAATTTTTTTACATGACAAAATATTTGTTGCTTTATATTTGTGCCACTAATTTCTCTGTACCTTGAAAAGTCAAAGACTCAATATTTACCTCATGATTAATTCTTTCAAAAGTTCCATTTATAAGAGTTGTTTTTAACCTCTGTATAATGCTTTCATTGGGTATTTGGAAAGGATAGTTATAAATCACATTACTATCTTCCCAATTATCCATGATTGCTTTGCTGAGACCACCGTCGTAAAATAATAGTTGATCTTTGTTATGTTAATAACTAAAGAAACGAATGTGTCTATTTGAAAATTAGCCATGTCTTTACTTACAAAAACTGTTTCTCAAGATAGATTATATTGATTTGTATATATAATCATACATAATATATATCATATATATACTGTATATGAGTCTAGATATTTAATTTCAATTCCCATCCCTTGAATTTTTATAAACCTTATAAATAACTCAATTTACCTCAGAGAGAAGGTACTTAAGAAAAAACACAGCTGAGAACTTCAATTATTTTTGGTGTAAATACTGAAATAAAGGCCAATTTCCCACACATGAGCCAGTCTCATACTTATTATTTGGAAAAAGGCATAAAATTTTGATTTCCCATTTTTAAAGTGGTATAAACACATAAAAAGTAGAAATTTGCCTCAGAGTAAATATTAACAAACAACTCAGACTCAGGAATCATTGTCATGAAATTGAAATGTCTTCTACTCCCTCTGTGAAATGCTGGCTAATTTAGTACTCCTAAAAACTCAAAAACATAAACTAGGTGAAGTGAGCCCCCAGTTACATTCTTTCCAATACTAAGTTTGAAAGAGTAGACTCAGTCTGCTCACACAGTAAATCAGTTTCAACACAATTTCTCAAATAAACAAAATAAACAAACAAAAAACTTTTTCTATTTTAGTTCCCAAGAGAGCCCAGACAAGTCAGAGGATTCATAATGTATCTCTTATTAGTACTTACAGTAACAAAGATAGAGAGTCCCTCATTCACAGCCCAGTTCCCCATGGTGGCAGAGGTTGAATGTCTTGTTGTCTGCCTTTCTTCTCTGCTGTGCTTCCTCCCATGAGGAAATGAAAACAGCGCCTTGGGGCAATCTGTTTCCTTTTCTACTATCAGAAATTACCTAATCATTGGTCAACTGAAAAGATTATATTCATAAAAAATTTCAATCTTTAAACCACCAACTACAGACAAAGGGTCTGTAGTGATCCAATCACAACCGAACATAGCGAAAATTCAATAAAACTAATTTTTACAACTGAGAGACAAATAACAGTGTAATTCATTGGATGTATTTTACACAGTGAATTAAAGTTTTCTTGAAGTTGTGGTTATTCTTTATCTTTTTGTGTGTTCTCAATCTTTTTTATTAACATATTTTATTACATTAATACAATGTGAATTAACTTTTTGAACAATCAGTTATCAACTAGAATTTTTTAAAAAGTCACCCAACTAGCAAAGACTTCATGCTAGGAGAGAAACATTAAGTAGGTGTGATATTTTTTGATAAACTAGAGCAGCATTTTCAGTCTTATTGAGAAAAATAATAACAATGGTGCTGGTTGATATTTATAGAACATTTATGTTGTGCTAATTTTCTAAGATACGTATGTATGTGTGTGTATATACACACATACATATATATGCACACACATATATATGTGCATATGAGTTGATAAATATATGTGTGTGTGTACACACAAAGACACATACATATACAAATTCAGTATGTGTAATTCGTTCGATTCTAACAATTCAGCCTGTGTAACATAGGTTCTATTATTATGATTACATTTACAGATGAGGACATTGAGATCTTGGGCAATTAAGTTACTTGGCCAAGGTCACACAGTTAAGAAATAGTGGAGCTGGGATTTGAAACCCAAGCAGTTTGGCTATACTTTTAACCACAATACCAGGAACATAAAAGCCTGAGTGTGCCCACACCATCCAAAATCCCTCCAAAGGCTCCATATGCATAGGAAATAAAAATATAACGAATATATTAAAATGTTGGGACTACTATAGTATTCCCAGGCAGAAATGACATTCTCTAGGCTAGGTATGGAAACAGAGTCAGAACAAAGGTAGCTCAGTTGTGCTAGAGGCCAAAAGCCAGGTTTAGCATTTTTTTCCTGACTGTTACCCAGTCCTCAGGACATGAAAGGGATAGGAGAGCAGGATGGCAACCCCACTATGAGATCAAAGTTGACTAATTGCACAAGGGTTACTCACTAGGGAGGTAAAAGAAGAGATTGGAGGAGCCAAAGGGAATGATAGAAGAAAAAAGAGGAGAGGCATGAATTCTTTTGGTTGTTGTCTACAAACAACTTGAGACAGCCTCCAGCATTATGATGATTAGTGAAGTAACATTATTTTTCTCTTTATAGTATTTAAAGAAAGATACTCAACTGTGACCTTCTTCATTGCTCTTGGCCCATATGTAACCCACATAAAGGGCCACTGGCTTCATGGGTCCTTTTCACATAAAGATAAATTCAAAGAAACACAGACACTCAAAACATGTGACAGCTATTCGCCTCTCTGCTCTAAGATCTAGTCCCCACCCTCTCCTTGCTCTGCTCTGTTTCAGAGGGAAGTATATTTCCCAGGCCCCTTGGCCCTCTGGTTTCTGGTATGTTCAGCCAAATTGGAGGATGAGGAGCAGGAAAGAAGCCAGAGTGTTTCTTCCCCACCTTTCTGCTTCAAGTGGAATCTCTGAAGTGACTGCATTTTCACTGAGGCTCCAGCTCCCACCAGTCCACCTTTCCCTCTGTGGCATGAGCTCCTGCTAGCCACTGCCACTGTAGTTCTATTGTAGCTCCTGCCAGATGGTCCTGGCCTGGTCCTGGTATCGAGTGACACCACCTCCTCCCAGTTTCCCCACACCTCTGAGGGTTGTAACCACTTTCTGTAGGTGTTAATATTGATGTTGCCGCTAAATCCCATTGGGATTGCCCGATTTCCCATCATTCGTGTTATAAATTCCTGGTATGAAATTCCCTCTGTTGAAATATGGTGGTTTCTGTTTTTCTGACTGCACTTTGCCTGATACAAAAAGTAATTCGGACCTGTCCTTATTTTTGCATGTAATTGAAGAAGTGAGGCATATGTGCCTAATGAGGAAGAAAACACCTTCAGAACCTCCTCTATCTAGGGCAATCTCAAACTCTTCCATAAGGATGACTACAACTCCATCGAGCCCTTAGGAACCTATAAAAGTCTTCTTTTTACTTCTTCCCCCTTTCTGCTTTCCCAGACTACTGGTCCATCTTCCCTTATTCTATCTAGATCTTTGAGTCTCCCCTACATTCTTTCATCCACTTCCTGATGCCTGTGCTCTGCTGGAGAAGCAATGGGAAGGAGCCCATGAATACCCATATGCTAGGCAGTAATGTTCCTTGTTTCACATAAACCTATTTCTTGAACATTTTTCAACTCCCTTCCCCAACCTCCACAATTTGAGAAAAAAAATTTTTTTAAAAACGAAAGAATATTTTCCATGGGTCATCAACCATTCCTTCCTATAGCTTTTTTTCTCTCTTATGAAAGTAATCACAAGGCTGTGAGTAGAGATTTCTTGAGAGCCTTAAGAACCTCAATCAGCCTCACAGCTGGAGAAAAAGAGATCAGTTTCAATAAAGAATAAAATCTTTCTTTTATGGAAAGTAACTTCCCTTCTGAGAACAGTGTTCTAGTATATTGAAATGTGCATTGTTCTTGGAAAGACAGAGAGTTTGATAAAGGAGCAACAGGTACTGGTTAACTGGTATTGACTGGACATGAAGAGGGAAGAAAAATGAACCTCTATGCCTCTGTCTCCCCAGCCACTTTGGCTTCCATTGTCTCCTAAGCAGTTAGTGTCAAGCTAGACTGTGATGAATGTAAGGAAGTACTCACAACTTCCAAGAGGCAGTAAGGACCAATACCCACAGGCTTATGATTGACATCCTCAATACTTCTGGCTGAGAAAAAAAAAAGAGAAAAGCAGACCCAAGTCTCCAGGAAATTCCTTTTGCATCCTGAGTATAATTCCTTCTTGATTTCTCAAACTGAAAAATTAGGCTCCTAATTTATTCCAAGAAAATTTGTGTGAAATTGATGAAGAAAGGGGAGGTGTGTCACTACCAAGATTCCCAATGAGACTTGTTCCTGGTGATGATGAAAAATGGATTTCTGTTCCTCTCATCTCTGCTGTACATGCTGTTCTTTTCAGAACTGCCAGGATGCCACTCCACATGCTTCTATGAGTTACGTGGCCCCACTTTCCTTGCCTAAGCATGACCAGTGAGAAGACTTCATCCCCCTGGAAACAGTGATGGTCCCAGGGGTGGCCACTTGACCCAAACGAGGCCAATTAGAGTTAGTTGCATGAGGAGAGAGTTAGGGATGCTGGAGGAGACAGGGTGAAGTGTTTCTCTTTGTCAATGATGTACGCCTGCTGCTGCCATAGATAATCTCTATTACCTTCCACTAAGAAGCTGCATAAGAATTACGTAAAAAAAAAGAATTATGTCAATACAAACAAAATCCAATCAGTAGCTGGGGGAAGATGGAGCAGTTCGGAGACAAATATGATGACAGTGTTTGAATTTACGGGCCTGATCTGCCTGAAACCCTTGGGCATCTCAGTTATTCTTACAGACTGTGTTTCCTGGAAAGTAGCCTCTGAGATGGAGATTAGTGTTCAGGAGTTTTATGAGAGGGTGCCTTTGGAGGCAAACACCCTTAGAAAGGAAGGAAAGATAAGCAAGCAGTAGTGGGAAGAAGGAGAACTTGAATTATCATGTGGTCACTTTAAAGCCTCAGCAATCCTGTGGGGAGAGCTACAGTTGGGATGATTCTGCATGATCTTGGGCAAGACAGTTCTCCTCACTGGGACAATCCCTGTAGGTGCTGAGAGCAGAGGAATAAGTCCATTTTTGAAGGTCAACCTGGCCGCCATATTATGGTATCCAACTAAGTTTCATAAGGCATAAGTTCCCACCACCACCACTTCCTGTTTTTTAAAAAATAGTTGGCTTTTTACCACTTATACCTAGAAGGGTTCCTACTAAAGCATGGTGTAATGAAACCCACTTTTTTTGCAGAATCACCATCTCCAAGGTTAGTGAAAGTTGAATAAGGTCTCTGGAATGGGAGCCAGATGTTCCATATCCTGTTTGAAGGAGAAAATAAAGTAAAAGCAAAGCCGTCCATGGAGGAAGGGACAATTTACTGATGTAGGTGACTAAAGGCATTAAGAATACAGTTTTAACTGGTAGTTTATTTAATAGAAGGTGAAAATGTGCAGTGATAAAGATTTAAAATTTAACTCTTTATGTTAAATGTGATTTGAATACATTAATTCATCAGAATAAGAAAGAAAACGAGGAAAGCTTACATATTTTCTCTTACTAGTCATTGATTTGAATTTAAAACTTTCTAATATGCCTGCTGTGTAAATTGGTTATTTTCTGTTTTTCTTGAAAAAAAAAATCTATTTGTACAGACTTATCTTGGTCTTAACAACAGCTAACATTTGTAAAGCTAGATTGTGGTAAATATATACCAAGTGCCTTAGGTGCTTTATCTCATTTACTTTTCACAACGACCCTATAAGTTTATAAAATTATTGTATTCATTTGTAGTAGGATGAATATTGCCCGTCCCCCAAAGATGTCTACGTACTTATCCCTGGAAACTGTGAATATGTTACCTTCCATGGTTAAAAGGACTGAAGATGGGATTAAGTTAAAGATTTTGAGATGGGGAGATTATCACAGATTATTTTGGGTGGGCCCAATGTAACCACAAAGGTCCTTATTAGAGGGAGGCAGGATGCTCAGAGGACTAGAGAAGAGGACATGAGGAATGGAGCAGAGACCGGAGCAGAGAGCAGAGCAGTGAGAAGGTGCTATGCTGCTGACTTTGAAGATGGAGGAAGAGGCCAGCAGCCAAGGAATGCAGCTCTAGAAACTGTAAAGGCAAGGAAATGGATTTTCTTCTGGAGTCCCCAGAAGCAATACAGACATGCTGACACATTGATTTTAGCCCAGTGAAATTGATTCCAGACCTCTAATGTCCAGAACTGTAAGAAAATTA